TTGGTGAAAATGCTCTTTTGCAAGCTGGGATAGCAATAGCAGTTAGACTTATATACCGCTTCATAGGGCTTTCAGCCCCTCTCTAAGCGGGTTACAGAGTCAGCATATCGCCCCCACACAATCTGGGTCCTCATTTTACCCACCTCGGAAGGATGGTAGGCTGAGACAAGCGTTGAGCCGGTGAGATTTGAACCGCCGAACTGCAGATAACAGTCAGCTGAAGTGGCCTGCAGTACTGCACCCTAACCACTGCGCCACCTCGGCTCTCTCTATAGAGAGCGCCGATATAGAAAATCTCTAGAGTCAACTACAGGTAGTCCTCGACTTACAACAGTTCAGTGACCGCTCAAAGTTACGACGGCACTGAAAAAAGTGACTGTTTTTCACTTACGACCGTTGCAGCATCCCCGTGGTCGCCTGATCCAAATTCGGGCGCTTGCCAATGGACTCCTATTTATGACGGTAGCAGCGTCCCAGGGTGACGTGATCCCCCACCACACTTCTGTGACCATCTGACCAGCCAAATCCATGGGCAAGTCAGATTCACGTAACGAGCGTGTGACTAAATTTAACTGCCCTGATTCGCTTAACAACTGCAGTGAGAAAGGCCGTAAAAATGGGGGCAAATTAACAAACGTCTGGCTGAGGCCCACGGAGATTTGGGGCTCAGTTGTGGTTGTAAGTTGAGGACTAGCTGCGATCCAGGAGGAGAAAGGTGACCTGGGGTGGTTCCAGAGCCCTTTTTGCTCAAGAAATGGAGGGAGACCCTCACCCTCTCCAGGAAGACGTCCCTCTTGGTGAACTTGCGGACGGCCGTCAGGGTGTCCTGCACGATGCCCATGACGGGCCTGTTGGACTGGGGCGTGACGATCATACGGGGCACCATGGCCAGTTCTTGGATCTCCGCCCGGGTCTCCAACGACTGGGGAAGGTGGAGGTTCATTTCGTCGCCGTCGAAGTCGGCGTTGTACGGGGTGGTCACACTGACGGATCGAAAGACACGACATCTGTGTCAGGACACAGCGAGGGGAGGGGCTGCCGCAGTTTTTGCAAGCGGAGGCCACAGAAGGAGAGCTAAGCTGGGCCCAACCCGGCTTTGGAGGACCTGTAGGTGTTCGCGCCGGCGTGCCGCACAGGGAGGGGCGGCCTCGACAGGACTTTGTGGCTGGCCTGTGTGTGCAGAGGGTTAATCGCGTGGCTCCAGGCGCCAACGACATTAGACGTGCCAGTCTAAGACCACCTTTACCTTAGAGGGGTCCATCTCTAGCCCCCTTGTTGATATGCGGAAGGCTAGGTAGTCTAAAAGGTTTTATGGAACTCACACTTAGTTTAATATACAGGTGTGCGTTCAGCAGTTTTTTGAGCACCTGCCGCACCAGTTTTATGTGCTCCTCCATTGTCTGTGTGTATATGAGAATAGCATCTAAATAGACAAGTACTCCCTCGGAGCTTCAGAGTTTGAACCGACCAAAATGAACAAAACTGCTTTCTGCAATAGTTTGCTCCTCTTTTATGTCTTATGGGAGGGGCCAATCGTCTCCAAGCCTTATTCCCCAATCGCTCCTTTTTGTCTTAACTGTTCTTGCCTTCCAGCAGCTCTGCACATGCACACACTGGGAACAGGCTCCCCTTGTTCCTCTGCCTTGCTGATGTCCCACTCTGGAGGCTCCAGAGGAGGCTCATAACTACCAGACGGCCTTGGCCCCCTCTCTGCCTCCAACGCAGAGCCCTGGGTCCGAGCCTCCCCCAGACTCCAGGACTGGCCCATGTCCCTCCCCAACCTCCTCGCTGTCCGACTCTGCTGCCAGCTCCACAGGCAGACCACAACAATATCTCTCTCTCTCAACCCAACACACCTAACTGGGGGGTCTTGTGGGGAAATTAGGAGGAGAAAGGTGTGTTAAGATATATTTGCCAGCTTGAGTCATGGTAAAAACAATCAAGGGTGGGGGGAGATACAAATAGCTAAATAAATGCAAACAATTTATTCCCTCCCCCCCCTCGGGCAGGAGGAAGAAAACCAACCTGAGATTGAGCCGGAAGGTGGACCAGGGTAGGATACGGACTCGGTGGCCCATCATGGACATTTTGTGTAGCGTGGGTTGCCGGTTGAAAATGACGATGTCTCCGTCACACATGTGTCTCTCCACCTGGAAGCGGGGAAGGAAGCCATCAGAGATGGAGAGGAGGAAATCCAGGTGAGCCCAGGGGGGCGAAAAAAAACCTATCAACCTCAATTCTGGGCTTGGTTACAACACAAACTAACAATTTGCCAAGATTTGCAGAATGATTTGTTTTTTTGTCCTTTAAAAAAGGTGTGTTACAGATAGTCCTTGGCTTACGGCCGCTTAGCACTGAAAGAAGTGACTTACGACCGCTGCCCACGTTTAGGACCGCCGTAGCATCCCCAACAGTCACGCGATCAAAACTTGGCTGCTTGGCAACCATGTCTTTACGACGATCGCAACATCCCAGCTCATGACTCCCATTTGTGACCTTCCCGGCCAGTTTCCAACCAGCGGGGCAAAGCTGGATTCGCTTAGCGACCGTGTGAGTCGCTGCCATGATTCGTTTAACCCCCCCGGGCTTTAGAAAAGCTCATAAAATTGCTCGCCTTACTTAGCAACAGAAATTCCGATCCCAATTGCGGTCGTCAGTCAAGGACTATCTCCAGGCCATCCTCGACTTGCTACAATTGAGGCCAAGGCTCCTGTCGTTATGTGAGACATTTGTTAAGGGAGTTTTGCCCCGTTTTGCGACCTTTCTCGCCACGGTGGCTAAGTGAATCTCTGCAGTTGAGAAGTCAGCCACCCGGTTGTGAATCTCGCTTCTCCCGTGGCCTTCGCTTCTCAGGCGGTCGCAAAAGGGGACACGACAACGGTCGTAAGTGTGAACCAGTTGCCAAAGCGCCTGAATTTCGAGCGCGTGATTGCAGGGCTGCTGCAACGGTCGTAAATGCGAAAAATGGGCACAAGCCCCCCTTTTTTTTCAGTGCCGCTGTAACTTTGAACCGTCACTAAATGAACTGTTGTTATTCAAGCGCTATCCGCGTAGCATTTCCTGCCGTTTACACGCTGCCCAACCGGAGTTGGCAGGAAAGATAATCCACCCTGCTGCCCACTGGAGGGGGTTAGGGCCACTCTCCTGCCCCACTGGGACCAGTTCCCCCTCCACACACGCCCCTCTTTTTCAGCCAGACTGACCTTGTACCCAATTTGCAGGTGAAGGTCGCTGGACTTCGGGTGGAAGCGGAGGTCAATCCTGTCTCCGTTGTGCCGGATGATGTACTTGGCACCGGGATACTGGCTGTTCCCTCGGCTCACCAGCTCCTGCAGCCTGGGTGGGTGGGGGGGAGATGAGGGGGGAGCCGAGAGTCAGCCAGAGTGGCAAGTGCCGGTGTCACAGGGAGGGGGCTGCCAGCCCGGCTTCAAGGCTCTCACCTGTCGATGTTGAAAGGTGCCACGATTTCGGCGAAGGTCATGTTGGCGGCGATGGAGCGTGGCACGCCCACCTGGTCGATGGAGAGGTTGGGATCGGGCGTGATGACCGTCCGGGCGGAGAAATCCACCCGCTTGCCCATCAGGTTCCCTCGCACACGGCCTTCTTTCCCTTTCAGGCGCTGCTTCAAGGACTTGAGGGGCCGGCCGGATTTCTGCATCGCCTGCAAAAGAGCCAGAGCGGGCATCAGGCTTTGGGGAAGGGGGATCAACAAGGCAGTGTGTGGGATTTTAGACCCTCCCCTCTCTCTGTCTTCACGGATCCTTCCTAGAAGGGGGGGGGGTTCCTAAAATCCCACATCCTCTCATCCTGCAATGGAGGAACTCGGCTGCCCATCGTCCCCCGTGGAAATAAAGCTCGGTCCCCACTTTTGACACTCTTCTAAAAGGCTCCAGGGACATGGTTTCGACAAAGGGGCCAGGAGACACCCCCCCCAGGGTGATATGGTGGGATAGTTGTTGGCGGGCGAGTGAGGGTTTGACGAGGTTTGATTGGGCCTTATGGTTGCAAGCTCCCCAGAGTCACCATGGGTGAAGCTGGGTGGCCCTATCATTTCTTCCTCAATAAATAATGATTTAAAGGAAACGCCTTCCCAACGTTGAGATTCATTAGAGAGCCAACTCAATAAGCGGCTTGAGATCCCAACGCTTCCTATCTAGACCAGGACTTGTGGACTTCAACTCCCAGAATTCCCCAGCCAGCTCTTTGTTTCACTTTGCTGAAGTCAAGATATATTACGCTTCCTGCATCCCCACCGTCTATTAAGAAAGTTACCCTACATGGCTGGCTGGGGAATTCTGGCAGTTGAAGTCCACCAGTCTTAAAAGTGGCCAAGGTTGGAGCCGAGGTGGCGCAGTGGTTAGGGTGCAGTACTGCAGGCCACTTCAGCTGACTGTTACCTGCAGTTCGGCGGTTCTAATCCCACCAGCTCAAGGTTGACCCAGCCTTCCATCCTTCCGAGGTGGGTAAAGTGAGGACCCGGATTGTTGTTGGGGGCAATATGCTGACTCTGTAAACCGCTTAGAGAGGGCTGAAAGCACTATGAAGCGGTATATAAGTCTAACTGCTATTGCTATTGGAGACCCTGGTTTAGACTGTTG